CACCCCGAGCAATGTAGTTTTACTCTCGTTTTTTCATTTTTGCTTCCGAATGGAAGCATTGTAATGTGTCACTGACTGATGTTGTCACTGCCTTAACCTCGATTCATCACTTTTTACAAAGAAGATATTAAAATTATTATAATGACCTTTTTCATAGCCCTTGAAATTCTTCACAAAAAGGTTGTGACGACCTAGTCGTCAATTTAAGAATTAAAAATTTATTGTCGATTTAATTACAATTTTGCATCTTGGTTGAAACTCCCCTCATCGATCCCTCAATAGAAATATTGAGGGATAACCGTGAAAATCACTCGTGGCTTATGCCAACGGTGATTTGACCACGTTCATTTATATTTTGGAGGATACTCATTGTCGTCACCCTGGAGAAAAATCTCTTCAGGTTCAGGAGGACGACAGTGAGGGGAAAGGAGAGAGGACCGTACCGAGGATGACCACGTGATGATGACCGCGCCCCTTCCCTTTCGCGGATACCGTGGCCACCGGGAAATCGCCAGGAAAACTTCGGGAAAATTCGGGAAGGACGAAAACCCCTGAAATATTTGCGTGATGAGGCCCCGCAAACCCAGGACTCAGGGGGAGTCTTTCGCCAGACGTCATGGACAACGCGTCTACAAAAAAAATACAATTTATAGTCCTATTTCATGTAATAGTCACAGTCAAGTAGCGTCACAGTTCATAAAAATAACAATTATTTGCCTCGTTGTTATAAATAACTAAGAATAAAGTCAGTGGATCTTCGTTGAACTTCAAAGTCATAAGGTCAGAGCTGAATGTTATAATTTCAAGTGAAAGTCGAGTCAATTGATGATTTGTTAATAATAAAATCGAACTATTATTTTTGTTTTGGAGTTTGTGGAATTACGGAGTCGAGAGAATTCGTGGAGTTATAATATTATTTTGTTTATGCCGACATTAACGATCTGATACCGATTACGCTATGTTTTTTGTTTGATTATGAATAAATTGATACTAATATTATTTGGAAAATACTGTGTTTGTGTGAAATTGATTCGAAGTGATAAGAACGTAAGGGGTTTCGTCCCCCTTCCCCCTTGAGATTATTAGAAATTGAGCTAGCTGGAATTTGTTAGTTTGTCCCGGAATTATTGCAATTAAAATAAAAACTAACTGGCGCCCTTCACGGTAAAAATAAATTGAAAAATAATTTTTTTTTATCGTTATTTTACATCGCTTCGACCCGGTTAGGGTATACTGCGATGATGATCAAGACTTTAAATGGTTAGATCGCACCATTCTACCCGGCCGGGATTTGAACTCGGAACCTTTCGCATGTGAGGCAATGAACTTACCCACTGCGCCAAGCCACCGGATTAAAAAATAAATATAATCAAAAAGTCCATCGTCACAAGGTCTTCATCAAAATGCTCCTATCCCCCTTAAATTACAAGATAACGAAAACTACCGAGTAAACTGATGTCCCCGAATTATCATTTTTGAGCTCATATTAGGTGAAAAAAAAGTTGTCCGAATTTCGCTCTAAATTCGTTTTTTCCGACCGTTCCATTTTGCCCCACCGTTCCATTTTGCCTCACCCTCCCCTATCATATCAGGATATTGAAAATTACTGGTTTTAAAAGCTGAACTGCCAAAAATCATTAGCCATTGATTCACTTATTATACGGAGCATTAGCGGGTTCTAATAGCTTGCGACAGATTGAGATCGATTTTTCGTGAAAAAATAATACCTACATCACCACAATATCCTGCAAAGCCCATAAAATTATTTAAATTTCATGTATAAGGACACGGAGAGAAAAGCCATGGGAAAGAGTCCCATGTCAAATTTACGACTTGTATGTATTTCTAAAATTTAGGAAGCATTACTATGCTATGGTAATGATTCCTATGGGGTATGGTATTACATACTATGGGCCATGGTATGTCTCTCGATGGGAATGAAGCCTATGAACATAGGAGAAATTACTATCTTGAATAGTACCCTCTACCATGTTACAGGGTAGAGTGTACTATTAATTATGGTAAAGGGACCCATAGTCGTTTGGTAAAGTTTACCATAGTTTATAGGAGAGATTACCATGCACTATGGTAACATGACCTATATTATATGGTAAAACGTGAAAAAGTCATAAAATGTCACGAATATAAAAGATAATGATCACTAAACTATATCATGATAATGATGAGTATAATGAGATAGAAATTTCACGTGGGATATATATTTATAATTAACGTATTTGGTTTCGACGCTGTTTCAATAATTACAGAGTATCTTCTTATAATGTGGGATTCTTTCCTATCAATAATCATCAATATTCCTAGATTAATCATATCGAATATCGTAAGGATCATATTTAACAATAACATATTTACATCAGTATTTTAATATCAGAATATACATATCTACAGAATAGTGGGATTTTTTGCCCCAAATTTTACCTAATCATTGGAAGAATTTTTAGCACTACGGTGCTATAAAAATTATTAAAAAATTCAAATGTGAGTAATTAAACTCAACAACTTTGCGTGAGAATTTAGAACCAACGTTTTGGAACGTATTGCTTTCCATTCCCGGAGGGAGCTATATACGATAGGATACAAAATTTCATTTGTCGAAATGTCAATGTCGATCACCTCTTATCATTTATATCAATTTCATAGGATTGGAAATGTTTTTCAAAGGAGTATTCTTGTAATTGTTGAGTAACAAGAATAACTTGATTATTTGGCTCTAGGATTACGATATTGATCAAATGTAATTGAGGACCAGCCTCGGTCGGCATCATCAATATTACGTTTTCCCTGATATCATGTCCCAAATAATTGAAAGAGCTTACTATTGTAATATCTCCAGATCGATTGGACGGGAGAACTGGCAGAAAATGACGATAATTTGGATCTAATTCTAATCTCTTGTTAAGAGCTGGACCAGGGAGAAAAGGTGGTGGTAAAGACTTGTTGATGAGTAACCGATAATTCAATTTTAATTGTGCCTTGATGGCTATTGTTAGTATTTTCTACGATATCGAGAAAAGGAGAGATTACCATGTATAAATAGTACTGATTACCATCCACATGGTAATCTCTCCTATAATAATGGTTGTCGTTGCTATATTGTATAGTAATGCCTACCATGTTCGAATGGTATTGATTACTATACAATATAGTACGCTTTACTGTTGAACAGAGATTGACTTAGAAACCCGTTTACCATGATTTATGGTAACCTCTACCATATAAAAGTAACCCCTACCATTCACTTTTCTCCGTGGAGAGAGCCGGATGAAATGGAGTAGCAGGGCAAATGGACAATGAATAAAAAATTAGCAATGAGACAGGCTGGACCCTGGGTATGCAGCAAGTAACATGATTAAACAGCGGAAATATCTATATAGTAATCAAACTTCATACTATTTTATTTTACGCCGCTTTCCCTTATATTATTCTTCGGCGAAGATCTTCCCATCATCAACATATCATTCCGCAACCAACATCACGACGCCCGCCCTCAATCAAACAATACGTAGTGTACGTACTCTATCCGTGCTCCAATCGATCTCAAATTCCGGAATTTTTTCCCTCAAAATAACATACACATAGGGCTAATGAAAGGATGAATAAAATATTCCCGGAATTTCTCTTAATGCAATTTTTATGAGAGCCAAACGATATTCGGTGAAAAAGTAATCTTCCCCGTGCAATGTTGGAAGAAAAAAAAATGTGCGAATAAAGAAAAGGAGAGAAGGAAGAAAGGTCACTAGACCACCGTGGTCTCTGGCTTTTGCCATCTAATTCGCCCCCCAGGTCACCGAATTGAATACGATCAGCGCAAACAGCGACTTTCCCCAGCACAATATTCCCGGGGCTAACCGGCGAAATTCAATTTACATATTCATGACGATTCATTTGTTCGTGGCCTGTACAACCCAAATTTTCCAAAGTGAGAAAGCTCAATAATTCTCGTTGCTTTCCCCAGTTTTATTTCTAATGAAAACATGAGAGCTGAAAAAAAACTGCCGCAATTTTCCAGAGCTACTAAGAAAACAATGTAAATTGTAATGCAATTTCATCAGATGATATCAACAACTTTATTCCATAACCATTATCTCATCCTTGCACGGGATTGCGACAAGAGGGGGGGAAAAAGGTAGAAAGTAGAAAACTCAAATGAAAAAAAAATGAGATGAGAAGAGAGGGTAGGAAACTTGATGAAAAATTACACAGTCTGATTTTTCCAAGTAATAACGGAATAACACTAGGTAGTGCATACTCTGGTGAGTGCAGAGAGAGATGCAATCCCATGTTTTATCAGGTAGACTGCCTCCTCCCACACCCCGACCCCCAGTCCATATTTTTTCCATTTTTTGCGCTTCACCCTCCATGCTCTTTTCAATTTGCATAAATAAATATTTAAGAAAAGTTTTTTGGCTTGTGGAGTATGAAACGCGATATCTCTGGTCCTAATGTACGACCACCCAGCAATCTCCCTTGTGTTTTTTTCGGATAGAACCATAAAGTGCCGGGTTAGTGTTATAAATCGTTTTTCCTTTTTTACCGCGCCCCCTTCTTTTTTAATTCATTGATCGTTTGCATGGGTGATAAAAGGGATGGAAAAGGGCAAAAACGTGAGGTCTGAGAAGAAAAAAAGAGATGGTAGATAGCGAGGCTTGGATACACAAATAGAAAGGAAACGGATGGGGCCACTTCTCCATCCTTCAGCCCTTATATTGGCTCAAATTTATGAATATCATATGTATACATTTCACCTTCCTCATCTTTTACCGCAAAATTATTCATAGGGCTTATTACAGCAGGAGGGTTAATGTTCTCATGAAATGTGAAAATGTGAAATAGAATATATATAACCATTGAAATACGTCATAATGATGGTGATGTTTGAACAAATTCTCATGAGTTGGTTGAGCATTCTCATCTGCATGAGAAATTCGAAACAAAGTAGAATATGTTGAATTTTATTATGATGATAATCTCTTTTTTAGGTCATACGGAATACATGCGAGGCTGCATGGCGGACATTGTGTACAATGGGGCGAATGTTGTAGAATCCACGAAATTGCGAAAAGTAAAGTCTGAAGCAACTGCAGTTACGTGGGGCTGTTCATCTGAATTTGATGCAACAAGAAAATCTGAGATAAGTTTTCTTCAAGAAGGTGCATTTGTATCAATTCCACGTGCAATTCCACGAGCAGGATCAAGGTAATTTTTATGAAGAATGACATTTGTGGAATGAAAAAATATTGAAACATAATGGTGAAAAACAATTTTCTTAAAAACGAAAAAAAGCAATTCTTACCTTTGGCGCATTGCAGATGGGATTTGGAGTTGAGAACAACGTCTGAATCAGGCCTGTTGTTCTATAACGCTGGACAAGCATCGCACGCTGATTACTTGGGCATTGAATTGACTGATAGCAAAATACGTGTACTGATGAACAAAGGTAATGGCGCTACTGAGCTCATTCACTCGTCCATTGTCGCTGATGGTAAATGGCATCGTGTATCAATAGACTTTAATCCAAATGTCATTGGTATAAGTATTGATGATAAAGTAGAACGTTTAAATCTGCCAAATGGTGGTAATCGATATTTGGATTTGGCTGAGACCCTATACATAGGTGGTACAGAGCTTAACAAACGAGCTAGAGCAATTGGTAAAGGCATCAAGTCGGGTGATCGTAGCTACAAGGGTTGCATCAGAAACATGGCACTTGATACAAGTGAAATTGGCCTACCAGACGTCAAGATCAGCGAGGGTATAGTTGTTGGATGTGTCTGGTCTTATCCATGCTACAATGTTCAACCTTGCATTGAAAGTGCTACATGCTCACAACTTGGTGTTGATTCGTTTCAATGTACCTGTGATCAGCCACACTGTGTCAGGAGTAACTACGTTTCAACGATCAACGTAAGTTAATTTTCATCTCGAGTCTCGTTGGAAATTGCATGAGAATGAGATTCAGTAATTGAATTCAATCTATTTCATTAGTTCAATATATTTGCATTGTCAATTGTTTTAATTCAAAGTTACAAAAATCTTGTCTACGTTACATGAACCAATCATTGATCAAACGCTCGAGGAGGGGGTGGGAAGAGGGGTTTTGAGTAAAGAGGGATTGCACCTAGTGATAGTGTTTGAAACGATAGAAGTAGGGTGGAGGGCACTCCAACAATGGGCATGATTCCTATTTACCTTGTGCGGTTTGTGGTCGTCGTTGAAACGAGAGTGCTGATTTGCGGAAACCTCCATTCCAGGGCTAACGAGACGCCACCAAGTGTGTCTTCCAACTACCCCATCCAACACACACACACCCATCTCCATTGATCGTAGTATCATTAAATGTTTGAATGTATTTAACTTGAGAGTCGAGTGTTTTCTCAATATATTTTCAACATTCTCTAGTTTATTTAATTTAAACCGCAATGGGATCACTTCAGTATTGCTCGTGAATTTTTAAGGAGTGGATCGACAATTCTGTAGAAATTTTCATGAAGGAAATCGAGCGGTACTTGATCGCTATGAGTGTAGAAACTCACCGATAACGGGTAGAATTGAGAGCTCATAGACGTCTATTCGGCTGATTGGAATAACTCCCATTGGATATAAAAGGAGGCAAGAAATCGCTTCTTTTCTCTGGTTTTCGTTTGTGTATGTGTTACTATTGGTTGATGCAGTGGTAGTGGGTATCATGGGGAATGGTTATATGCGCACCGATACACACTGGTCCTACCTCCTGCGTCTCGTAGGAAATCAAGCTACTTTTCACAATTCCCACAGGTAGAAGGGGAGTAAAAAAAAATCAAGAGGGTGTTCTTTACACGAGTTACAAGTTGTACACCATGGTGAAGTACTTAAGGTTTTTGTGGAATAATTCAGATGCTGTTGTCTAGGTGGAGTTTAACTTTGAATTTGTCCCTGATGTCCACTTGCATGAAACAATAATTTATCCCTGGATAGTCGATTTATTTTTGTAGTTGCGAATGACTGAATAGATGATTTTACGATAATAACGGTGCAATAGTAGTGAATGTATGAAAAGGAAATGAGATACATTTCGAGACAAACAATTTTTTCCGATTATTCATCCGAAGAAAAAGTCAATTAGTTAATGAAATAATCTTTTGCAAGGGAAAATATTTGAATTTGCAATTGAAACTTTTTCTCACACCTTTAATGATATTCACACAACAAGCGCCCATAAAGCCACCTCGGGCTACATTCCCGAACATAGAAGGTTTTTTCACGAAATAGAAGACCTAATATCTCAGTCATTTCAAAAAGTAATGTCGGTCCCGAGTTTTAAATCCAGTCGGGTAGAATGGTGCAATCTAAAAACTTCAAGTCTTCATCAACACCTCAGCATACTCAAAACAAATCAAAAAGATATAAAATAATGATTGAAAAAAAAGTAATGTCGACTACTTTCGTAAATTCTGGCACGCATGCGTCGTTCCATTTTTTCCGATTTTCGTACATTTGTGGTCAAATGAATATTCGATTTATTTGGATGATATTGGATTGATGAGGCAGATATGAGAAATTCATTTTATTGAATTTCAATTCATTAGAATTAGTTGACGAATTCCTTGCAGTTTGAACATATTTGAATGATTTAATTTCAATTCAATATTTAAATATTTAAATAATCAAATATTAAAGTGTGCTGAAATTTTCTATAGGGTTGAATGGCTTGAAAACTGAATACTTCTGAGTTTTCCATTAGGTGGTATGTCAATTAGGTTTTATTAACATATTCCTTAATTAGGGGGTATGGAAAATTTTCATCACTTGTGTGGAAAGTGAAATTTTAATTTTAATCACAATTTCCACACATTGCGATGAAAAATAGGGTGTGGTAAAAGTGTTCTTCGGTCCTTGTGAGAGTAGCATGGGCCTTCGGCGGACGTCACACACCTTGCGCGGGTCAAGAATAGTATATCGTGCCCCTAGGGAGTAAAAGTATTTTCTGGCGAATGTGATGTTATAACCCGAGCCGAAGGCGAGGGTTATAATCACCTTCGTCAGAAAATACTTTTCCGTCCCGGCGGGCGGAAAGTTACATTTCCCTCCCGCTTCGCGGGAGGGAACTCTGACTTTGCGCCTACGCCTAGAGGGAAAATCGCGTTCTAACCACGGGAAGTAAAATAAAGGACCCTCAGCCGCGTGGTTACCAACCTCGCCTTCGGCTCGGATGGTAATTGCACTGGCGGCTGAGGATCCTTTATTTTCCATCCCTAGGTTAGAAATATACTATTACTGCCGTGTGGCACACGATATTTTATGCCTCGAGGTTAGAATCGCGGTTTTCCGTCCCTAGAGGCATAATAGTATATTTCTAACCTAGGGAGGGAAAATAAAGGATCCTCAGCCGCCAGTGCAATTACCAGCCGAGCCAAAGGCGAGGTTGGTAAGCACGCGGCTGAGGGTCCTTTATTTTACTTCCCGTGGTTAGAACGCGATTTTCCGTCTCGGCATAGGCGCAAAGTCAGAGTTCCCTCCCGCGAAGCGGGAGGGAAATGTAACTTTGCGCCCGCCGGGACGGAAACAATTTCATGTCACCAGGCCCAAGAAACTGCAATTCCAATCTCGCTTCGTTCGGTTAGATCACGGTTTTTGGGTCCAATGAAATAAAATATTGTGTATCATAACGCGATAAAAGCATTATCGCCCGATGACATAATATACCACTAGGCCCATTGCACTATATCATTGAAGTTCATGTTTTCAGGGTCCCTGAATATGAGTATGTTGACCGTTTTTGCGAGGTGTGATTAGTTTTGCTTATTTATAACAATTCAATTGTTTAAAACGTGTTTTAGAGGAAACGGTTCCAGTGAGGCAAAAAAGTTCAGAACAAAAACTGTTTCTTATTAAAAAATACATAATTATTGTATTATAACATTTTCCCTTAACTTCAACAGTTAACGAAATAATTTGATGGAAATGAGGAAAAATAACTCCAATTGCCATCCAACAGGACATGAAATCCAAATTATCTTGGTCAATTTTTCAATTTGTCGAATTTTGAAGTGATGCATCTTCTAGACGGTTTTCTAATGAATAATTTTCATTATTAACATTTTCTTCTTCTCTGATTACGGGAATATTTGCTCGAAAAGACGGTGAGTACTGCCTAAATAGCAGAACAAACTCCTATTGGACATTGGACGATGTTGTTAGCGATGTGTCAGGCAGTACTCGCCGTTTTTTTGTTTAAATATTCCCATAAATAATCGGAGAAGCGAAAAAAGTTCATAATGAATATTATTCGTCAGAGAACGGTCTAGAAGATAACTTGGATTTCATGTCGCTTTGAATGGCAATTGGGGATATTTTTCCTCATTTTCATCAAATTCCATTAATCGTTGAAGTTGAAGTTAAGGGAAAATATTATAAGATAATAATTATGTATTTCTTAATAAGGCTTATTTTTCTCACTCGGATTTCAGCCAATCAGAGCGCAGTATTTGAGGCTGTCAAACAGTTTTATTTCGGAAATTTCTAAAAAATTTCCAGTAATAATACCACTAGTGCTTCAAAATTATCGGATATTTTCCGATAGCTTCGTTGCCTAGAAACGATTGTGTCAAATTTTGCAGGTTTAAAATCGCGAGTGCGAAGCACGAGGGATTTTTCTGCGAAATTTGACACACTCGTTCCTACCCGAGTGGAAATTTTAGTCAGGTCTTGATCAGACACTGATCAGGTTACCTTATCAGATTTTGATCAGGTATGTAACGCTATAATTTTGAATTTTCCACTAGGGTAGGCAAAGAAGCTTGAAGAAAATATCCGATTAATTTTGAAGCACGAGTGGTATTTGACGGGTTATTTGTCTACTCGGATTTCGGCCAAGCAGAGTGCAGTGAACATTCGGATACATTCACACAGCCATACATTTACACCCTACTTTTTTGTTTATCTGTCACACAGAATATTAAACGTGAAATACGTTGAAAGATGAGAAACATTTGAAAAACTACTAGTGCATTTCCGTCGGAAACTTTTTAGAAATTTCCGAAATAAAACTGTTTGACAGCCTCAAATACTGCGCTTTGATTGGCTGAAATCCGAGTGAGAAAAATAACCGACGGAAATTCACTAGTCGCTCTTCAAATGTTTCTCATCTTTCAACGCAATTCACGTTTAATATTCTGTGTGACAGATAAACAAAAAAGTAGGTTGTAATGTATGGCTGTGTAAATGTATCCGGGTCCGGATGCTGTTCACTGCACTCTGCTTGGCCGAAATCCGAGTGGAAAAATAATCCGTCAAATACCACTCGTGCTTCAAAATTAATCGGATATTTTCCTCAAGCTTCCCTGCCTAGGAACGATTGTATCAAATTTTTCTGCAAAATTTGACTCTTTCGTTCCTAGGCAACGAAGCTATCGGAAAATACCCGATAACTTTGAAGCACTAGTGGTATTACTACTGAAATTTTTTTTTGAAATTTTTTTTGCATATCTCTCATAGTAGAAATTTCACGGCCCAAAAACGTCGCGACGGCGCTGGCGCGTGACATTCAATGTTACAGGTATAGGCACTTTGACTCAATGAGACCGAACGCGCGCTACAGCGCGCTGTAATTATAACAATCATAATTGAAAATCTCAAAATTAAATTAATCATGAATTAAATTTGCCGCCTCAGACGACTGGAACCAATGAAGGATAAGCGTGACAGACTTGCGAGATATCGATAGTTATCGACTTTAAGTGTATGTTCTTTTTAGGATAGGATGTCGCAGAATTTCGTTCAATTTCTACTAGGGTCGAACCCTTTCCACGAAATCGCATTATAAATAATTCAATTGTAATAAATAAACGAAACTAATCACATTTCGCAAAAACGGTTAACATATTCGTGTTCAGGGACCAGCGAAAACATGAAGTCCAATGATAAATTTCAATGGACCTATAAGTGTATACGGATCCTGTTACAGTGTATGGACTGTGAGATAAAAGGAACCGGTAGGCAAAATTTTCCCCACGGCTGAAAGATTTCGGGTGATCGCCAGCCGAAAGGGAGAAATTAAACACTCAGAAAAGTACTGTCAAATCTGACTAATCTAAGAGCACAATTGTGTTTCAGGAATTTGTAATTGAAATCAAGAGGAAATTGTCAGACCAGGGATAAATTTTTGTTTATGTAATTGTAAAATTTCTGAAATTTTGGTGAAAAATAGGAAACAGACGGATGGATTTTAGCATATTGTCAGGGATTTTTACGGTGTACCGTTCAGTAATTTCCATTTTTCTCATAATTCTTCGTTGAATTTTTTTCTGTGTTCTTATACAAACTTATAACAAATGTCATTAAATATAAACAATAAAATAATAGTTACCCTATACATCGGAGTAAATCCTATGCAATTATTAGCCATCGAATCATTAGATTCGAAGAAAATATGTGGACGTCCGCATGAAAAGGGACCACTTTGTCGACATGAAGTTATGCATACTCTGACAATATTGATAACATTCTGAACATTTGGAATTCAAAATGATCCTCATAGCCTATGAGTCATAGGATAAAAAATGACGTCGCTGGAGAAAATGATCGAAAACAATTCAACATTGGTGTAAATGGGAGGTGAGCTCGGTGGCTTGGCGCAGTGGGTAAGTTCGTTGCCTCACATGCGAAAGGTTCCGAGTTCAAATCCTGGCCGGGTAGAATAGTGCGATCTAACCATTTAAAGTCTTGATCATCATCGCAGTATACCCTAACCGGGTCGAAGCGCTGTAAAATAACAATAAAAAAAAATGGGAGGCGCTCAGACAAAAACATAAATAACTCGGAAACTAGAATCGACAAACTGGTCCCATTTTATGCGCAGGTCCACATACAAAATAAGAATGATTAAATAATGAATACTGGAAATTGAACTATCTTTCACAATGCAAACTTTCATATTATAATATTAAATCCTCCAACATCATTCTCTCATAATATTTAACAATGTAGTCATAAAATCCCCTTCCCATTCCATCCACATTCTAATCCTAATGAACTATTTAATTAATACGGAATAATCTCATTCCACCAACAAACTATACACCCCATTCAACTATTCATCCAAAGACCATAATTATAAACGTTAATAGCAAATAAAGTCCGTAACTCACCAATAAACTCTTCCCAGTTCCCCCTGTAATAGTCCACTGAAATAACCCAGTTACTGCCTATTTGAGCTAATTGAAATGTGTCAATTGAAACGAGTGTGCGAATTGTGTTACAGGCAAACGTGAGTCGAGCGGTAGACCTGGAGATTGTAGCACCAAGGGCTATTGTCGTGCCAGAAGGCAAACATGCGCTGGTAACCTCTGACAATATAGCAATGGTACTAGACATTGCCAAGTATGGGGCAAATGAGGACGGGGTCATTTTCACGATGGTGATACCACCGGAACACGGTGGACTGATCCTGGATTCAGCCATTTCACCCACAGTTTCAAACCCCGAGCTAGCTTTTACCCTGCACGACATTTACAGAAACAAGGTAATATATATAAACTATTTTCACCGACCATTAGGTACGGATTAAAAAGGCCTTTCCAACTCTTTCCTTCCCACCGCTCAACTTGTCCTTTTTCCCCATCTTTAGATTGTTTTATTGTTTCAATAGAATTTAAGTTAGTCAAGAACACCTTTATAACCCATACCAATTCCACAAACTTCAAAGTTATATTCGCTCGGTGGTTTTCGTGGTTAGCTACTTAAACTTTCCCCTCTCGCCAATGAAACTTGAATTTCGTATAGACCATTTGCCCAATGCATCGTGTGCCACTGTCAGTATACTCAAACAAACTTTGAATAACAGCTCACCCAAACCGATATCACTTCCATTGTTCGCAATATCTGGGCACTGCGTTTTGTTCAATTTACTCATGCTTCAATGGTATTTCTCTGTACTGCCAAAAAGTCAATAATCTTTATCCGCCCATTTGCCCGACATTCTTATACACAATGACGACAAGAAAAACTCATAGGGGAAAAGAATAACAAAGGGAGGGCAGAGAGCAGATCAAAGGGGGGCTTCGAGAGTAGGAAAAAAAAGTGTCACGAATCATCCTACTATGGAGTTTGACATGTTCCGAGTGTTAATCTCCGCTGGATCAGTGGAGATCAGCACAGAAGAAAAAAAACTAGTTGATGGGTTCGTAATCGCCGCTACAGCGAGCAATCACGTGTTTAACGTCCAACAGCCTTCGTGGATAGACTATACATAGTACGTGACGGGGAAGTACCTAACTTTAGAAAAGCATCGAGGGAGGGGGACCCCTGAGAGACACGGGCTGGGTGGTACACGGGAACTGGGTATACCCGCGTTTAAAACTACCATATATCTTGTACCAAGAGTCATTCTATATATAAAACCAAACGACTTTGGGTTCTATTCTTTTTAATATTATTTTCCCTGTGCATTTATTGCTATATTCTAAGTCTTTTTGTTCCAACACTCTCTTTCTCTCACTGTTAACATTTCTTTTTTCCCCCTTTCACTGTGTTCATTTCTCCCTCTGGTCCATTAAAATTATTTTAGTAGACTTCTCCTGATGTGTTCTCAAACAGCAGGACTGGTGGGGGGGGGGGGGCTTATCTTCTCTGGCAACTTTGCACCATCCAAAAGACTTTGAATTAATTTACCATGATTTTATTACCAGTCCCCACCGCCCAAACCTCTAGTACTGTCCTCGTCTAAAAGCGGTCTTCCCAGCTTTTGAATAATTGAACTGGACAACCCTTGTAGTATGCTAATTGTCGCATTTTTAATGGATCACCTTGAAGTACTCAACAGTGATGATAATCATTCTTTATAGAATTTCATCGTTCCCTCGAAACTTTTCTCCATCCAAGTTAACTTTCTTATCAGTACCTTTTATGTATGCACAATATCTCGGGTATAATAGCATTTCATATACATCAAAAACATTAATTCAATTACAGGTGAAGTATGTACATGATGGAAGCGAGAGCCCGGGGGACTCTATGATATTAGAGTTGAAACTGACGGCTGAAATTGGCTTCACGCTTCCTGGATATCTACAGAGCCGTCTGAGGTTTCCCCTTCATGTCAACGTTACGCCGGTGAACGACCCGCCTCTTCTCGAAATACCAACAACCAAGGTCCTCAGGCTAGCGCAAGTGAGTCCAGAGAAAGGAAAAAGAAATTCTTTCTTGCAATTTTTTTTTCTCTTACTCTTCCCCCTTCGCCTCCACCTCCCAATTAAAAGTTTGCCCGTTGCCCTGAGAGAGCAAACCAGTAACTTTATACGGTTCAATTATCCAATAAATTCGGAGTAAAATTTAATCAGACGAGCATACCATCACACATTCACGTATACATACATACATACAATTACCAATGCGCATATACATGCGTATTGGTAATTCTCTGGCAGCCGATTATAAACGCATTGCTGTCTGACGGCTTCAACCTAAATGACTCTGACCGCAACGGTTGTTACCACTTTAGATTAATTAACACGACAATGTCAATTTTAATCAATAAAATGGTGTAAAGCTAACAAAAAATCCATAGGGTACGAGAAAAACATTGACAAAAGAGCTTGTGTGGACTGTGGATCCAGATACACCACCAGAGTCACTGGTGTACACGGTATTACGTGCTGATACTGATGCAGGCCATGTTGAAAAACTCAATCACTCGGCTCATCCACTTGAAACATTCAACCAGGCTGAATTAGCACAGGGACTTATCTCCTACGTTCATCACGGAAATGGTGAGCCTTCAATTTAACTCTTCTGTCCCTCTTTCCTTTTTTGTTTAGCTCCTTTTGTTTCATTTTATTTTCAATCCACCACTTGAGCATAAAACTTGGTATCTATACTGGAATCGAGTGATTTAATATTCCTTCTTCGAATTTTTTTTTGTTGGACTCCTTTATTTTATATTTTTCAGCCAAGTCAAATGCAATGCTGGGGCTTCAAGTGAGCGATGGAACTGAAACGAGTAGACCATCGTTTCTACGGATATCCGCTTATCCACTTCAAATAAGATTGGGACACAATACCGGCCTGGTAGTGGTGCATCGATCCATGTCTTATTTAACTCCTGCAAACTTGTCGTTTGCAACAAACTCAGATGATAGTAGTATTGAGATACTGTATACAATTGTATCACAACCGCAGTATGGAGTTGTGCAAGAATTAAATGAAACGATTAATAGTTGGTACAGTGTCGAGCGTTTTACGAGTAAGGAGATTGAAGCTGGTGTTGTGCGTTATCTGCATACTGTTGGTAGCCCATCGCACGATCTTCTCAAGTTTCAAGCCAGTATTAGAGAGCTGAGGACACAGCAAACTTTTGACTTTAACATTTCCTTTATCGATATGGAGCTCAAAGAGGTACACAAAATGCCATTAGAATTTACAAACATAAACCGAGTTAATGTCACGCATCATCATCTCAAATATGAGACAAATCCTTTAATCACGGCAGCATCAAAGATTGAGTACAAATTACTAGGAGTACCCAAATACGGTCATTTAATGCTTAGAAATCGAATCCTATGGAAGAATGAAAAATTCAACCAAGAGGACATTGATTCAGGCGGCATTGAATATCGTCTGTTCAAACTGGCGTACTCTCTAGTTGAGGATAGAATTACATTTGAGGTAAGTGCACCACAGTGCCAATCCTTGTACTCGAGCTTGGCAATTAAGCACTCTATTGGAAAGAACTCAAAGGCACTCGATCCAGTCGATACTACTGAAATGTTAAAAGTTACTGAGGGACTGCAGGTCACTTTAAATATCATTAAAATAAATCCAAGGGACTTCAAAGTGAATGGCTTGATTTACAATTTAACTGAAAGGCCGTATAATGGATGGCTTACAGTTCAATGCTATTCAAATCAAACAGCAAGATCAAACGTAACATCTTTTACAGGTGAAGAACTCAGTAGTCAATCGGTTTATTACGTTCACGACGATTCAGAAACGAGAAATGATAGTTTTATGTACGTGGCAGTTGCTAGTGACGTGGATTTTATGTACGTTGGTAGGTTCAATATCGAAGTTATCCTAAGAAACGACAATCCACCGGTGAGATCGGAAATGTCAGCTTTCGACGTTGTAATTAATGGAGATAGGGTGATAACACGAAGAGATCTCACGTACACGGATCGTGATACTGGTACTCAACCCAGTGATCTCATTTACCAAATACAGAGTGTCTCGAATGGTGGGATTTATGGTGCTGGTGATTCAACCCTTCAGCTCGAGGAATTTTCTCAGCAGGATATTAATGATCGTAAAATTTTGTTCAAGCATCGTGGTGAGGAGCTTGGAAAAATTGAGTTTTACGTGAGTGATGGTGTATCACGTACACCTGGCTACTTGGAAATTCGTGCTAGTCCACCGTACGTCCATTTTTGCAATAGCAATGCGACAATTGTCCAGTTTAATAGATCAGTGATTTTTGCAATTAACGATTTCGATATTGTAACGAATGTCGATGTAAACGACAAACAAGTTAAATACAGTGTAACAAGTAAACCGAAGCACGGTGTTATTTTACAGCGAAATAACAAAGAGGTTGGCACTTTTCAGCGTGAAGATTTGGCGAACAAATTGATATCCTACAGACACTTGGGGGGATCAATGACCAAGGATGAATTTAGGATTAGAGTAACGGTTAAGGGAGTATCTGCTGAGACGAGAATCATGATAAAAGTTTATCCAAAGAGCTACTGGGAGTCACTCATAGTTAAAAATAACCGTGCTATTCTTGTTGAAGAGGCGACAAGTGTTTTAATCAGCAAGAGAAACTTGGAAATTTCACATCCTAAAATAACATCGACTGAGATAACTTATTTAATACGTGAATGGCCGAGGTACGGTTACCTCGAGGTGCAGACACAGAGTGATGGACACGGAGAAGAGTCAAAGGACGATTACGAGGCGAATCTAGTCAGGCACTTTGATCAGAGTGTAATCAATGAAGCTCATGTATACTATGTTCAATCGGTAGCGAATCAAACGGAGGACAGTTTTGCTGTTGATGTCACTAATGGAATAACATGGATGCGAGGTATCGTTGTTAATTTTATAATAATACCAGACAAGCTGTACGTTGAGGCTGACAATATCAGTGTCACTGAGGGAAAAACAGTTGCACTCCAGTCAACCAATTTTAATGTAATTACAACATACTATAATGGCAAGCTGACGGACTATAGAATTATTGAAAAGCCAAAGTATGGTAGCATTATTGATTCAACAAAAAATAATCAAATTAAAAAATTTTCACAGAAACATTTGGAGGCTGGTGTTATTGTTTATAAGCACAGTGGTGATGAGTCAATTGAGGATAATTTAAAAATAGTGGTAATTGCGGGTGATAAAACGAGTCAGCCCATTGATATTTGGATAAATATACAACCAGTGAATGATCAAGTGCCAGTGCTTGTTAATTACACGACATTGAGAGTGTGGCAGGGGGGTAATGCTTTGCTGACATCGCAAAATTTTTCAGCCGTCGATAATGACACGAAACCATCAGAAGTCATTTACAACATAACAAGCGTAAAAAATGGATTTTTCTCCATTCACATATCACCAACTGTTGATGTTTACAATTTTACTCAAGAGCAAATCGATAAATCAATGGTTATGTTCACTCATACGAATGGAACAGAAGCGGCTTTTTGTTTTACACTATCGGATGGAGTACATACCACTCACACATACAATATATCTATTGATACAATTCCAATCAGTGTGTCGATTGTAGAGAACAATGGTCTAAATATATTTCCGTTAACAAGAAAACCATTAACTGAAAAATCTCTGATGACAGTGTGCAGTGATCCTGGTAGAGAGATTAGGTATATTGTGAGACAGGGACCGAGTCTTGGAAAGATAATTATGGAAACGAATGAGGGCACTTGGCACGAGGTAGATAGATTTACTCAAAAAGACTTGAACGAGACTAGGGTTACGTATGAGCATACGAAACAGTTTATGGACTTGTTCACTAATGACTCGTTCATATTTGATGTGGAGAGCCACTTTGCTGAAATCATTAGGAATCAAATGTTCCGGATTGATATATCAGTATCGAGCGGTGGTCTTGGAAGATATATCGTGGCTAATCCGGTTAGAGTTGAGGAGGGTGGTTCGGCTCAAGTGCTCATGAATATCAGTGAAATCATAAGATATTTACGGAGTAAATCGGGTATTTCAAATCCGGAAGTATTCACGAGATTAACTAGCCAACCGAGTCATGGACACGTGATGCTACTACCCGACTTGAATATCACTATGTTTAGTCAGACGCAAATTGAAGGTGGGAAAGTAGCTTACTACCACGATCACTCGAACAGTTTAGATGACAAGATCCAATTTTCTCTACATCTCAAACAGGGTCATGTGATGCTGTGCAATGTCACTATTCAGGTTATCATTTCACCCGTGAATGATGAACCGTTTAAGCTTGTGACAAAGGCACCATTCATTACTGTTGTGCAGAATCAAACGCAGACTATAACGCGCAATGATTTGTTGACTACTGATCCTGACACAATGCCCGAGGAACTTGTCTACGATGTAATTTCTGGACCAACTGCTGGACGTTTGTTGATGCTATCGCTTGAACAAAATACCTCTGAAGTTAGACAGGTGACTAAATTTAGTCAGCAGGATGTTGATGCTAATCGTCTTGTGTATGAGCACAGTGGATCGTCTCAGTCAGCTACTTTCTACTTCCGCGTATCCGATGGCCGTTTTACCCCGGTTTACACTATTTTTAATGTTCATGTACTGCCAATAAAACTCAACGTAACAACACCAAGCCCTGTGAGCTTACAGCAGGGTTTTAACATGGGTTTTGTTACCGAGGAAAATATAAAACTTGATACTAATGCTAGACAGGAGCATGTACTATACTCGATAACAAGTCCACCAAAATATGGTGTACTTTATGTCCGAGATGTAGAGGCTGTGACATTTAAGCACACTGATTTACTATCAAAGACAGTTGTTTTTTTGCAAACTGATATGTCATCCTCTAATGACAGTTTTGTTGTAACCGCACGCCTGAGCGATTACCAAGTTAAAGGGATAAGAGTGAACATCAGAGTGACACCGTTAATGATAATCCGTCCAATGGTGGCATTTGCCGGTGAAAAGAATCAGATAACAAAACGATTTATGGATGCTACACCATTGGCTGAGGCAACTAACGGAAATCCTGTGTATCGTATCACTGCCAAGTCACGATACTGTAAGCTCAAAAAAATTATCCGTAGTTCCGGTGAAAAAAGAAGCATAAGGGAACGTGAAACATCAAGATTTTCCCATCGTGAAATTATATCTGGTCTAATTTATCTGGTCTGCCGAAGATTACCGACAACAGATTCAGAAGGATTGCCGGATTATTTTCAATTCAATTTGACAGCATCGACTTATCAGCCGGCAAATGGTGTTTTCGAGATTAGACTTAAATCAGATCCTGAGATATCCAACAGTACTTTGGGTGGTCCAATGGATCCAGTGGGACACGAGGGGGAAATGTCAATAGCACCTAACATGTCACACGACTACTTAATGATCCTTGGCATGTTGCTCGGGGTTTTTGTCCTCGGGGTCCTTGTCATTATCACCATTAGGTGCAGACAAAGGAGGTACAAGAATACCCAGGAGAATAAGACGAGTGAGACAACACCCACTGTCGGGGTTATTCCACTACCAAGACCTCCTGATCATCTTATGCCAAGTACGCCTCATCTCAAGAGGTTTGGCAATGAATCCATGGACATTGCCGCTAGCACTCCACTTCCAACTCACTCAACAATGACATCAACATTGCCACAGTGCAAAGTCATACCACTCAATCCACTTGAGAGTGTGACAAGCGCCGATGCTGATGTCTCAGCGAGGTATCCTTATGGTGTGCCTGATGGTGATGACTGGAGTAGTTTTGACACGGCAGATTTACCATGTCCACCACCCACAACTAACCGCAGGACAAATCCATTATTAAGGAGAAATCAGTACTGGGTCTAGCAGTCAACACCTTCGGGACATACTGTTGATTATAATTCAATCGAGTATGAGCCCGGGTAACATTGAACTATGAATATTAAGTAACTGGAGAAAAGACTGTAATAATTGATAAATTTTCAGGCGGAGGGAACTTGATGTTCCATTGTACATGGCTATGTTTGAATAGTTTCACGACTCTTCTTTTTTTTATTTTCGGTGTTAAGAGGATTGGGATAATCCCTGCGTCAACTTTGAGGGTTGATTATACCACGTGCACAGCTACCTAACTCGGCCTAACTGAAGTCGCTTATTTTTTTTACGATATTCTTCTTTATTTATGGGAAAATGTGACCCGTTTTTTGTAATATAAAATGTTAATAAATATGTATACTATGAATGGGAGAGAGGATTTTTGGATGATGATGGGATCTTAGGTGTTATGTGTAATAATTGACAACAACGTTTCAATAATGCCATTGTATGTAGCACTATTCAATGAAAACATCGAGTATTTGTTATTTATATTGAATTCTGATTCATTAGCAGTAAAGTTGAATCGAAAATATAATTTTGGATAGATTGAACATGTACACTTTTGATTAATAGACAATTATAAGTTATTGCTAAATTAATTGGAAACCTGTATGAGGAACATTGGAAGAAGAGAATAAATTTATATTGTATGAAATTTATGTTCACGCGCTGATTCAAAATGATTATCAGACTGAATTGATACAAAAAAATGTATGGGGAGAAACATTCAAAAAATTTTATAAAGAAAACGCTGGCTATTAGCAGGTTCGTGTTATTTGACGATTATGGCATAAATCCATGATGAAATGAATGAATTTCACAAGGCGGACAACAACAAAGGATTTCAACAATTATTTCCTACTGATCGTTATTCATATAGTTTCAGCCCATTTTTCGACTCAATAATTGGTTATATGCTGGATGCCATAGGGCTCATCGCATTCGCGCATTTCACGCATATAGATAAACACCGAGAGGGGGATGCCAGATGCTATCGATTCACTCCCGATAATTCCCTAATGAAATTCCCATATGAAAAAAAATATATATGAGTTATACATGACAGGCAAAGAGTCATATATGAATGTTTAGAAGTGATATTAATTTTTCCGTATGAATTCATAGCTATAACGAAAATGATTGGAGATTTTCAACAAATTAATGCACTTGTTACAAAATGAGAAACATTCGAAATTGATCTGATGAAAACATTTGAACTTGAGTGGATATCGAAGCTCACTGAAAAATTTGCTAGTGTCGTAAAATTGTCCACGTATGGAAAAGGTCCATAACAAATCCTCGTGTTCAGAAATTCTGTTGGAATTCTCGTGGGATTCTCTCCGTTTTCAAATAATGTTACAACAAATTAGGTGAAAAATATTGGATACCTATTTTTTTATTTCTCAAAATCATGAAATTTAAGAAGTTATGGCCTATTAAAGAAGCATTTGCATTAGGATGTCATAATACAGATATTTCAGATCCCCCATAACTTATCAATTTTTCATAATTTAATGAAATAAAAAATATATGTTCAATATTTCCGTCTATATTTATTTATATTTTCATATCCAGCAACAAAAATGGCATACATTAAATTAAAATATTTCACGGAAAATATTAAATAGACATTTACAATTCTATCCTATTTGGATTTTTTTAGAGAAATCTCCCAGTATGAATTTTCTATTTCTTTTCTCGCATTTTTATCGCCCCTCTATGTCCAGAACTTTATCTAGCAAGGATCTCAAAAGAATAAGTTGTATAGAAAATATTAAATATTTCCACTTCAAAAAAGCTGCGGAATTTTGTATAGAAATTGGCAGACAGCAAATGTTCTCGGATTTTCTTTTGCATTTTTCACATACACTGTGCTAAAATTTTTGAAAAAATTATTGCACAGTTCTGTATAATATGAAGTGCCCTTTTTAACCTTTTTCCTTCCTTTCACTGGAAAATTTTTCATACAAGCTTCTTGTTCCTCGTTTACGGTGCCTAGCACAATAATTTTTCCGGAATTTTTCTCTCCATACACTTATGATTAAATTGCGCCTAAGTGTGTATGTGTGCAGAGAATGTCTACCTATTAATTTTGGGTAAATTGCGTCTTCGTGTAGAGGAACACTGGAATAATACGGAAAAAAATGAAAAAATTAAAACGATTATGTATAATTAATATAAGCATGTTTTCAGTATTAAAATGTTTGAGATGGATTTACGGATGTTGAATGGTGAATGCCCGGCTCGTTGATTTTTACAACTTAAAATTAAATAAAACGAGAGAATAACGATTACAAATGTTAGTGTATTTAGAGAGCATAAATACATCTGTACGATTTAATCAAATGAGTAATGACATGACTGTTGATTTTTTGAAAATATTGCGAATACAAAAATTATGAGTTTGCATTGAACATCAGTGCCGTATGGTGATATAAATTTTAACATCTTTTCAATGGCCACAGATGCATCGAATTGGGGTTTAGAATGAGTGAAGTATCATTATATTGGTCATAGTGAGATGAAATGATTTTTTTATGATTAGCAATATGCAATTTCTAGGCATTTTTTATAATCTTCATGTCGAAACTGATCCGAGTGCCACACATGTCTATAATTATAGATGAGACTACAATAAAATTTATTATAGCGATGTATTTTCCCTATTCGAATCAAATTAAGCATAATCTGTAATCTTATAAATATAATTATATTAAATGTGGAATGTTTAAATTATTAATTCATTATTCGCCTTCGATTCCTTTGAAAAAAAATAGAAGAGTAGCGAATCGAGTGATACGAAGAGGTGCCTTAAGGATGGACTTGTAGATAATTTTCCAAATCTTTATGAAATACCCCCATCAAAAAATATGTAGTAAATATATATATATATATATATATATATATATATATATATATATATATATATATATAATATGGACCAATTCCATATATTTCCCAAATTCATAAAGAATATATAAAATATATATAAAACATATATTTCATTTTTTTTATATGAATTGGGCAAATTTAAGATATTTTTAAATATATTTTTCAAAGTATAAATTGTTCCATGTGGGCAGGAAGTTAATTTTTTTATTGATTATTTTTTCAACCCAAATTTCCGTCAACAGGATTGGTCCATTCGACGTCACGTGGTACCAAGGACCATGGTATTATACTGATAATTTTTTGATAATTTTCTCTGGTAGTTCCTATATATTAAAAACAAAACAATACCCAGTCGAATTAACCCAAGATGTCAATGACAGATTCAATTCGATTGTAATTCCTCGTGGCTTTGACGTAAAAATGAGTAGATTTGGAGAGCATTCCCTACAAACCATCGACGAAAAAGTGAAGGGAAATGTTCCAGTTAATACAGTGAAATCGAAAAAAACAGTCTGGAATCAGTTTACAACTTTCTGTGATGAAAGAAAATACACGTTACGTGCGGACACTAGTGTTGAGCAATTGGCAAATATCCTCAAAGACTATGCTTACAACATGAAGAAAATCAATGGAGATGATTATAAAGAGGGCACCGTCAAATCAATGTGGAATCAGACTGCTAAATTACTCCAGGAAAAATATTTGAACGACTTCAACATCAACGTCAATCCATTTTCTGATGCTGTTTTTAAAACAGCGAGAGGAGCCCGCGATGCAAAACGCAGAGCACTCCAAGCGATTCCAGAAAAGCGGAAAGCGANTTATTGTAAAAATGTAAAAAGGTCGTTACAGTAAAATAAAACTTGTTTTTCCATGTTTCGCACTTCTTTGGATGAGTACTTTGTCTTTCGAAAGAGGTTTGTAATGTTGTTGATAGTCCCTCCCATCTAGCAGAAGGGAAAACTGTCGATTGAAAGGTGAAAGAAGCAAAAAAAAGATTGAAAAGAAGAAGAAAAAGAGAAAAGGAGAAAAAATAAGAAAATTGCGAAGAAATCACATTTTTCTGGTGTACTGCTTGTCTCTTCCATGATGGCTTTCCTTTTCATCGTTATGAGCAAAAAATATTGATTGACACGTTTGTTTCTTTGGATAGCTCTCATAGATAGCGAAAAAACTCAAAAATTTCAGAGAAAATTTTTTTCCCGACGCATTGTTTCTCTTTTCTATCAGGATGAATCTCTTTCCTAACTCATATTCATCAAAAGTATCGATTGAAATATCAATTTCTTAATAAAGACGAGGCAGCTCCTCTAGAAAGCGGAAAAACCAGAAAATTTAGGAAACAAAAATTTTCTCCGGTGCACTGGTTGTCTCTCCCATATTGGCGTATTTTTTTTACATTATATATGGACGTCCTCTATCATAAAAAAATATTCCAGTCGAATACCGGACGGCCCTGGAGCCGAAAAAAAATAAAAACGTCAAAATTCATCGAAAAAGAGGTGTAGAAGCTTCTTCACGCCTATGGAGTATTTTTTCACTGAAAGTATGAACGAAAACAAAAACTTTCTTTTTTTATTTGTTCGAATCGGATGCGCCATTCAAAAGTTATGAATTTTTGAAAATTTAAAGTTTGGTAGTCATTATCTCAGAAACAAAAAATCATGAGGCAATGAAATTTGGCAGGAATACTGTCTATATATAGTAGTTCGAAATGCGGCAATCAAATCATTTTTTCTAGACAAAAAAAAATTCGGCGTGGCTGAGTTGACATGGAATGTCCCATATAAGGCCAATAAAAATCAACGAATAAAAACCCTCACTAAAATCCAGACACGACGGCCGCGCAAAATTCTGTTATTTAAATTCTCGTCATTACACCTAGGAAAGCCATAATTGAAAAGTGCAATTTCGAGGATAATAAAGGAATAGAGGTAATGAGGAAAACCTTAGAGGACAAAGTACCTGTATCTTGGGGACGTCTCAGAACCGCGCAGCAGGGGCTGGGACGGTCCAGCGACCGTTCCATTCATAGGTGTTGTATTGAAATACCTATAGCATCAATAATTTTCGAGATATCGATGTGAAATTTCGATCGAAATAGTCTTAAAGAATATAGCTAGGCGAAAACATGAAAAAAAATCGAAATTGTTAACCCATTATGCCAGACTAACCCTTTCATGTACTCTTTTCATGGCTATTATTTAGGCACCTTATTAAGATGGCAATGGATAAAAGCTCATTATATGACCAGCCGGGATTAGATGTCGGAACCTTTCTAAACTCAATCAAATGCCAAACCCACAGCCTCAGTTCACAGATCGATTTTAAAATCTTGTAATTTCTCATTCAAACACTCCAATTGTGGTCTCATTAAAACTTAAGAATATTATTAGAATGAATTGTATTGCGAAGGAGAAGAACCTTGATAATCATGCATCATGAAATGTTGTCGAAGAGTTAGATAATTTGTTTTCAGTTTTCATAAAATTATTCAGCTTTAATCAGGAGGCGCAAGTTGAAACTTCAGGTAAATACGGAGAAAAATATTTTTCCAAAGGAAGAAATTTATGTTTAAGTCGATGTGGCGGACGAAAAAAGAACGGCATAATTCCAACGAACAAGACGTTTTTAAGCGTCAAGGACTAATGGCATGAAAATATACATTATGTCATCAGGGGATAAAGTATTATCTGATGAACGTGACTTTATAATCTTATGCGATGGCGAGATTTATCGGGCCTAGTGTCATAAAATAAACTTTTCTTTTCGAAAAATTCAGCATTTTTCAGGAGAAACATACGTATATCATATTTCTGTCAAAGTACAACTGTAGCCGTCAGATTTAAGTTTTTTTTAAATCAGAAAAAAAATTCACCTCAAGGTTTCTCCTCTGTTACTAGACTCACAAGGCTAAAAATTTAGGATAAAGCTCTCCTAACTATCCATAAAATAATGCTTCCCTTCGGAAGCAAAAGGATGAGACTCGTAGCCCAATACAAAAGTTGAATTGGAATATCAGACCGATAATTGGGAGAATCTGCTACATGAATTGCATTTCCATTAATATCGATGAATAGGGCTCAATAATGCCTCCGTTTGAAAAATAAGATTAAATTCCATTGATGCATTAGCGAAGCATTAAAGAAAAACTTGGCTACACACATACATGCGGCCAGGGGCTAAAAAACGTATTTTCTGACTTTCTGGATCATAATAGATGGATATGACACAAAAAATCTTAAACTGAATTTAAATGATTAAAAAGCCAGTCAGAACCAAAAAATCCAGAATTGTATGAACTGCAATTTTTTTTTCGGAATTTTGAAAATTCATCATAAAGATGATTAACCTCTCTAAATCATTTCTGGCAAAATGTTTCATAACAGGGGAGTGACTGTTTTTGGACAATCGTTACTTTGAAAAATACAGAGATAGTTTTTTAAATCTGTTGAGAACTAGATTTACGAACAAAAACTAGATTTTCCCTGACTCGCAAGTTTTTCATGACTGAATAAAAAAAATTTCATGACTGAACTGGAAAAGAACTGAGAAATTCTCTTTCGACTTCTTTTTTTTGCGAAATATTGGCAAAAATTGATTTTAGACAATTTTGCTTCTAAATGAAAGCATTGTAATCGTTCAAATATGAGTTTCGGTTTCTTTGTGGTATATCAACCTATTATGATCCAAAAAGTCCGAACATGCCATTTTCAAACCCTGCCTGTACGTATTGTTATGTTCGGAGATGTTGTCAGCGTTGGGGACAACTTTTTATATTTTAAATTTAATACTCTCGAAACATAATTCAAGAATTATCAAGAAAATAATATTCTGAAGGGTTTTCTTTCATCTCTTTTAGTTTTTATTACACGAGATCGGCCGCGCGTGCTCCGCACGCGCCTTCTCATTTCCTCAAGTAGTGGTGCTTCGGTTTCAGTCTTACGCTTACGCTTTTTCGACATTTTCGAGATATTTCGAGATCGATTTCCTTTCTCCTTTTTACGATAGGAAGGAATTTTCAGAAGTAAAAATTAGTTCAAGTTCCTGCTTAGAATTGACAGATTAATTTGATTTATAATATTTATTGACCCGGTTTCAAAATTTTAACAAAATTATTATGAATGATTTTACATTGATTATTAGGTTTCTAATAATGGATATAGATTTTACAATTATATTGAAAAATATTCAACACTATAACTAATATATGAACTTTTCGGTAAACTAATGATTTCATCACCGGCAACGAAACCATATGGCGCTACTTTCAAAATAAAATATTGAATGTCCCTTATATGCAAGAAATGACACTATTCTCTATTTAAGGATACAGTATGCCTACGCAAACGCGCTGGATAGCTATCTACTATTAATTCCATAAGTTACCACGAATAGTATCAACTTAAGTGCATTACAATATGAGAAGAAACGCGAAGGTAGATCGATTTTGTGAACATTTTCCACCAGTAGTTCAATAATTTCGCGATCACCAAAAAATTTAGATTTCTCTTGAGTCTGTTAGGGAAAGAGAGGGAAGCCCCCTTTAAGACTCGACCACTGGGGGCGAGGAGCGAAAAACGACTGATTTAATTTATGATTTTAATAATGGAATTGAGCGATGACCCACTAATTTGTGGGGTCCAATGCTCACATTTTTCGCTGATCAGTTAGCAATAGCAAATGTATGTTGAGGGAATAAAATTGGAAAATGACGACTAAAGTCGGTCATTTCTCAATTTCATTATACGAATTTCATAACAATGATGAATTCCCAATAAAATAATTCAAAGATTATTTTTTGACATTACCGTATGTGTGCCTGTATGT